AGCAGTGGTCAGGGTCCAGGGTTTGAGTGACGGGGCTCTGTCCACTCAGACTGGCCTCACAGCTCACTGAGCCCGCCTTCCTCCACTGGTCTGCAGAGAGGCTCAGGGTGCTGCTCCAGCTGTAGCGACCGTCTGTACCCTGGGCATCCAAGCTGTTTGACACCCCTGAGGACGTACTGGTGCCCCCCACCTTCCAGCCCAGCTTCCAATTTGCCGGAAAACCCCCACTGGCCAGACACACCAGAGTGGCACTGCTCTGGTGTGGGAGCACGGTCAGAGTGGGCTTCACCACACCCACTGGAGGAGAAAAGGTGGAGAAGAGGGGGGAAGAAGATAAAGAAGAAAGGAATGAAACCTGGTAAACACATCTGAAAAAGTGACAGTAATTGTTGATAAAAAACATCACTGTTACAGTCAATAACTGATCTGTAGGATAATTTTCTGACTTTCAGCTGAATCACGTGAATATGGTTCAAATGTCACATCTGTTTCTTTCACTTCTTTAAATGAAAAATAATTGAACCACAAAGACAAAACTGATCTGAATACACTGAAAAAATAATGTCCACAGGAGAAATTCACACTTATATACTTATACTTAAATGCTTACTTTTAAAATTCATAAGTGAAAAGAAAATTTAAATCAAACAGTCATATTTAGGGAGGAACAACTTCACTATCACCAAACCTTAGTTTTAAATATTTAACTGTAAAATGATTATAGAAGAACAAATAATAACAAAAATAATTTTGTTTTCAGCAAATTAAAACATTTTTTTAAAGACTGAATAAATGTTGATCTCTGTGAAGTTTATTCTAATTCCACCTTAATAGTTAAAATGATTAACAATAATGACATAATTTTAGGAATGTTCTGTTCAGTAATTTCTTTTAAAGAGCTACCATGGACTGCACAAAGTAAACGTTTTTCATACTTACAGTCAACGATGAGCTTGGTTCCTCCACCAAAAGTCCACCACAGTGATACAAACTCATTAAGTGGCCGTACAAAAACCTCCTGCACTCTGAACAAGTGTCTAACTGCTGAAAATGAACCTTTTCTCAAGTAAATCATCACAGTTTAAACCTCATTAAATGGATAGAATGATTTAAGAAAAAATAACTTAAATTTGTTGATGATTTTTAGTCATTTTCATAATTTTATTTGGACTATTACCAATTGAAAGACAAAAGATTGTCAAATGAAATAAAGCTATATCAGCAAAAAGAAAAAAGAAAAACACAGAAACTAAAATG